AGAGGGAGGAGGAAGGGAGGGAGGGAAAGAAAAAAAAGAAAGAAAGAAAGCAAGAAAGAGAGAGAAAGGAAAGGAAGAAAGGAAGGTAGAAAAAGGAAAGAAGACAGAAAGAAAAAGAAAGAAAGAGAGAAAGAAAGAATGCAGGCAGGCATGGTGGCTCATTCCTATAATCCCAGCACTTTGGGAGGCCGAGGTGGGCAAATCACAAGGTCAGGAGTTCAAGACCACCCTGACCAACATGGCAAAACCCCATTTCTACTAAAAATACAAAAAATTAGTTGGGCATGGTGGCACGTGCCTGTAATCCCAGGAAGCTGAGGCAGGAGAAGTGCTTGAACCTGGGAGGCAGAGGTTGCAGGGAGCTGAGATCGCGCCATTGCACTCCAGCCTGGGCGACAGAGCAAGACTCTGTCTTGAAAGAAAGAGAGACAGAGAGAGAGAAAGGGAGTAAGGGAGGGAGGGAGGAAGGGAAGAAGGAAGGAAGGAAAGAAGGAAAGAAGGAAAGAAGGCAGCCTCCTGAAACTATTCAGAAAATATCCACTTTGGTAGGACGTTCCTTTTTTCTGGACAATCAGAACAAATAGAAAAACAAATTTTCACTTGATTGTATTTCATTGGGTTCTGGGCATTTGTAAGTCTAAATCTAAATCAATGGTTAGATTTCAGCTGGAGGGGAGGGGAGTGAGGACGGAAGGGTTTGTCTCTCAGGAGGCATTTGGCAATGTCTGGAGACATTTTTTGTTATCATGGGCTAATAGTGTTGATTTTGGCATCTAGAGGAGAGGGATGCTATTAAACATCCTACGATGCACAGGACAGCCCCCACAACAAATAATTATCTGCAATGTCAATAGTGCCGATGTTGAGAAACCCTGGTCTAAGTGTAGTTCATGTGATCTTCTGTAAAGCCTTAGCATATGAATATGTTCTAAATTAATAAGGGCACTTTCAGCCTGGGAAGAGCACTGTATATACTACTAAATGCACCTAGAATGCCTTCAGTTTTTATATTTTATTTATTTATTTATTTGAGATGGAGTCTTACTCTGTCGCCAGGCTGGAGTGCAGTGGCATGATCTCAGCTCACTGCAACCTCTGCCTCCTGGGTTCAGGTGATTCTCCTGTCTCAGCCTCCGGAGTAGCTGGGACTAAAGGCACCACGCCCAGCTAATTTTTGTATTTTTTAGTAGAGATGGGGTTTCATAATGTTGGCCAGCATGGTCTCCATCTCTTGACCTTGTAATCCACCCACCACGGCCTCCTAAAGTGCTGGGATTTCAGATGTGAGCCACTGTGCCTGGCTTTTTTTCTTTTCTTTTTGAGATGGAGCCTTGCTCTGTTGCTCAGGCTGGAGAGCAGTGGCACTATCTCTGCCTCCTGGGTTCAAGTGATTCTTCCACCTCAGCCTCCCAAGTAGTTGGCATTACAGGCGCCCGCCACCACACTCGGCAAATTTTTGTTTTTTTTTGGTGGAGATGAGGTTTCTCTGTGTTGTCCAGGTTGGTGAGCTCCTGACCTCAAGTGATCCGCCTGTCTTGGCCTCCCAAAGTGCTGGGATTTCAGGCGTGAGCCACTGTGCCTGAACGCCTGACCTCAAGTAATCCGCCTGTCTTGGCCTCCCAAAGTGCTGGGATTACAGGCGTGAGCCACTGTGCTGGAGACAGGAGAGAGCTATGTGGTTTTGCTTCGGGTTTCATTGATTTTTCTCCATTCTTTATTCATTCTTAATTTCATTGTTTTCTGCTCTGCTTTTTAGTATCTCCTCCTCTCTACTTACTTTAGATTTAATTCACTGTTTCAGCTTCTTAAGTTAAAGTTTAAATTTTAAACATTTATTTTCGGGTTTTTTTTTTTTTTTTTTTACTTTTTGAGACGGAGTTTCGCTCTTGTTACCCAGGCTGGAGTGCAATGGCACGATCTCGGCTCACCGCAACCTCCACCTCCTGGGTTCAGGCAATTCTCCTGCCTCAGCCTCCTGAGTAGCTGGGATTATAGGCACGCACCACCATGCCCAGCTGATTTTTTGTATTTTTAGTAGAGACGGGGTTTCACCATGTTGACCAGGATGGTGTCGATCTCTTGACCTCGTGATCCACCCGCCTTGGCCTCCCAAAGTGCTGGGATTACAGGCGTGAGCCACCGCACCCGGCCCTAAAACATTTATTTTCTAGTATAAATACTTAAAGCTATAAATTTTTCTCTAAGTCCTGCTTTAGCTGCCTCCCTCAATTTCTAATATATTGGTTTTTTTTTTAACTGTCATTCAGTTCAAATTCTTTCAAATTTTCCTTATGATTTCTCTTTTGACTCACAGGGTATTTAGATGTATATTGCTTATTTGTAAGTGTTTGGGAGATTTTCCAGATATCTTTTTGTTATTGATCTATTTGTAAGTTCACTGATCCTTTCCTTTGCTATCCAATCTGCTGTTAAGCCATCCAGTGAATTTTCTATTGGACATATTGTACTTCTCAGTTCTGGAATTTCCATTTGCTTATTTTTGCTTTTCCCATTCTTGAGATTCATTAACTCATGATGATCACTTTTTCCTTTCAGTCCTTGACTATATTTATATCACTGTTTAAAGTTTTTTCTGCTGGTGCCAACTTCTGGGTCATCTCAGGTTTTGTTTCTATTGACTGCTTTTTCTTTTAGATATACATCACATTTTCCTGTGGGCTCTTTTTTTCTTTCACATGCCTTTTAATTTGTCATTGTATATTATTAGACATTCTACATAGTAAACTTTAGAGACTGGATTATTGTCCATTGAGAAGTGTTTATTTTTGTTATAATAGGCAGTTAACTTACTAGTTGATCACCTTGCTGAGGCTTGGTTTTATCCTTTGCTAATATGAGTCAGCTTTGGTTTTGCTCTTAGTCTCAGAACAAATATTTAGTCCTGGGATATAGATTTTAGCTCTATGGTGTGGCCTTTTATTATTATTATTATTTTTTTGGAGACAGTGTCTCGCTCTATCGTTAGGCTGGAGTGCAGTGGCGCGATCCCGGCTCACTGCAGCTTCCATTTTCTGGTTTCAAGCAATTCTGCTGCCTCAGCCTCCCTAGTAGCTGGGACTACAGGCACGCAACACCACGCCCGGCTAATTTTTTGTACTTTTAGTAGAGATGGGATTTCACCATGTTGGCCAGAATGGTCTCGATCTCTTGACTTCGTGATCCACCCGCCTCGGCCTGCCAAAGTGCTGGGAATACAGGCGTGAGTCACCGCGCCTGGCCAGCCTTTCAGGATTTTTAAGTGGAAAGCCCTATGTGTTTACCCAGACCCTCTGACTTGGGATTCAAATTCAAACTCTTTCTCTGCTACAGTGGTTAACAGTAGAAATTTGCTTAGCTGTTTCAGACCTCCAGTGGTTGCCTTTTGCTGGGCTCCTTGGAAATTCCTCCATCCACAGTTTAGCAGTCAGCCTATTATTTGAGGGGAGTTTATATGCAGATTTAAAGGCTTCACCTTCTGTGGCTTCCTTCATTCCAGGAAATCCACCTTCAGCTGCTCTGGAGTCCCAAACTCTCCTCCATCTTCTGACTCTTCAAGCCAAAAAAGGCTGGAGCTTTCTACTCAAGTTCTAGTTGGCCTGTGCCATTTATACTTGAGAGTACACTCGGGGGAAAAAAAATCAATGTAGATGGTTCTTGTCATTGAAGAGTTGAGTTCCTTTTAGTTTCTACCTGCTTTGGGTATTTTAGGTGCTTTCAAAAAGTTTTTTTCTTGTTGTGCCCAGTTTATAAATTTTTTGCCTAAGGGGGCATTCATCTAATAAACTATTCTGCCATTACTGGGCCATCCTTTCACTTTCAACTTGTTTATAGCTAGTGTGTAACTCATCTATAGGTTTATGATCTGCTGAGGTGGAGAAGATTCATTCATAAAGCCTAAAGTGTAGTACTGAGTACAGGTGCAGGTGGAGCTTAGAGCAGAATTGGTGTCACTGGTCGGGGGCGGGCTGCAAAGAAGAGGTCTTTGCGAGGTAGGCTGTGAGGGCTAAGTAACACTTGGATGAACAGACAGGAGGAAGACTGTGGTGACTTGCTGAGCTAAGGGCAGGGGTAGGCATGAACATGGTGTGAGGACAGTGAGCAGACTCGCCTCCCTGGCTGGAGGTCTGAGTAGGAAAGGCACACTCTTTGAGTAGATTCAACACAAAGAAATAGAGGCAGCGTGGCTCAGGGATGCCCTAGATCTCTAGGCATTGTCAAGTTGCCTATGTCCTATTCCATCAAGGCTGTTTACTGACCTGCTTCCAGGGCACTCCCCACTCCCAGCCTCTTCCTGCAGCCCGAGGCTGCTTCCCAGCCTCTCAGGAGATTTAAGATGGGCACCTTCCACAAACGGGCAGATGAGGTGAGGAAAACTTTACAGACACAGTTGTGCCAGAAGCCAAAATCAGAGGGGTGCCCTTTCTGTAGCCCCATTATAAAAGAACTGCAAAAAGGTGGAAGCATCTTCAACGAACATGGGCTAGCACCTCCCAGACCTCAGGGAGTTCACTTCTGTTCATCCCAGCACCCAACATTGCATATCCAGATTATTTGAGCCCAATCTTTTATCCTCTGAAGAACACAATCGGCTTTGGGAACACAAAAGGTTTAGGTAGTGGTTTAGGGATTTCTAATCCCAAACTTTGTCCTTAGGAGGTTTAGGATTAGTGTTCATCAGTCACAGAGCCCAAGTGTTTTTAAAGGAGGGGTTTTGTGGGGTGGATCATCTATAAGAGGACTCAGAGGGGTGTGGGGTATCCATGAGCAAGATGTCAGAGGAAGAGGAGTTTTATCTGTTCAAGAACATCTCTTCGGTGGGGCCGTGGGATGGGCCTCAGTACCACATTGCCCCTGTCTGGGCCTTCTACCTCCAGGCAGCTTTCATGGGCATTGTCTTCCTTGTAGGGTTACCACTGAATGCCATGGTGCTGGTGGCCACAGTGCGCTACAAAAAGTTGCGGCATCCCCTCAACTACGTTCTGGTCAACGTGTCCGTGGGAGGCTTCCTTCTTTGCATCTTCTCTGTCTTCCCTGTATTCGTCGCCAGCTGTCACGGATACTTCGTCTTTGGCCGCCATGTTTGTGCTCTGGAGGCCTTCCTGGGCACCGTAGCAGGTACTGCAGGGGAAAGGGATTAGGGGAAGGCAAAGGTTGCTACTCCACTAGAGTGGGTCCCTAAAGAGGAGTCTTGGCAAAATGAGTCTGGTGCTTTTTAAAATACTGGGGTACAAAGCAACCCAGACTAGAAGTTTGGCCAAAACAGGATGTTTGAGTCTTCACTCCAATGTCAGTCCAGCCCTCTGCCTCCCTGTGCTTGCTCTACCCAATCTGTATGCCACTCTGCCCCCAGGCTGGGTGGGGCTCTGTCTATCCCATTATCCTCACATTTCGCCACAGGTCTGGTGACAGGCTGGTCACTGGCCTTCCTGGCCTTTGAGCGCTACATTGTCATCTGTAAGCCCTTCGGCAACTTCCGCTTCAGCTCCAAGCACGCACTGATGGTGGTCCTGACTACCTGGACCATTGGTATTGGCGTCTCCATCCCACCCTTCTTTGGCTGGAGCCGGTGAGAGTGCAGGGCAGTGGTGCTGACTTAACTAAGAGCTCAGGTTGATGTGGGTGGAAAGAGAGCTTGGGTATAACCACTTAGTCTTTGACCTCTACTTTTTAAAGAGTTGCGATACATGAGGCGAAAGGGCAGTGGGAGACCAGTGCTAATGTTTACTCTGCAGTTGGAATTGCTGTAGCTTCTCCCAGTCAGGACAGAAACCCCTCCTGCTTGAAGCCTTTGGGCATTCTCTGGGTTCTAAGTGGAGAACACAATCCAGGCCTCTCAGCTCCCACTGCACTAGCTCTTGTGGAGAGCCCAGTGAACATGTTTGGTCCTTTGCAGGTTCATTGCTGAGGGTCTGCAGTGTTCATGTGGTCCTGACTGGTACACCGTGGGCACCAAATACCGAAGCGAGTACTATACGTGGTTCCTCTTCATCTTCTGCTTCATCGTGCCTCTCTCCCTCATCTGCTTCTCCTATGCTCAGCTGCTGAGGGCCCTGAAAGCTGTGAGTGGCGTTTGAGAGTCAGGGAGGAATGGGTTCGGGGCTCCACATGAGAAGAGAGTGCTCTGGAACGTAAGATAACCGGAAACGTCCATAGCCAGAGAGGGTATCTAAAGCAGAAAAGCAGTGGAAGGGAGAATGATGGAGATAGAAAGGAACTAAGCCAGGAGATGCGACAGAAAAGAGGCAATCAGAGTGGATGCCCCCTCCCCCATCCCACAGAAAATCATCCAGAGGCTGCGTGCAGTGGTTCACACCTGTAATCCCAGCACTTTAGGAGGCCGAGGCGGGCGGATCACCTGAGGTCAGTAGTTCGAGACCAACCTGGCCTATACGGTGAAACCCCATCTCTACTAAAAATGCAAATTAGCTGGGCATGGTGGTGGACACTTGTAATCCCAGCTACTCGGGAGACTGAGGCAGGAGAATCACTTAAACCTGGGAAGCGGAGGTCCAGTGAGCTGAGATCGCACCACTGCACTCCAGCCTGGGCAACAGAGTGAGACTGTCTTAAAAAAAAAAAAAAAAAAAAAAAAAACTAGAGATCTGGGAGTTGAGGGCCAGGAAGAAAAGGGATGTGATGCTCTCCGTGCTCCACCCCAGGTTGCAGCTCAGCAGCAGGAGTCAGCTACAACCCAGAAGGCTGAACGGGAGGTGAGCCGCATGGTGGTTGTGATGGTAGGATCCTTCTGTGTCTGCTACGTGCCCTATGCGGCCCTGGCCATGTACATGGTCAATAACCGTAACCATGGGCTAGACTTACGGCTTGTCACCATTCCTTCGTTCTTCTCCAAGAGTTCTTGCATCTACAATCCCATCATCTACTCCTTCATGAATAAGCAGGTAAAGCTTTCTATTCACATTCCTATGGTCCAGAAGACCTGGGTTCTTTTCTCACCATTGACTTTTAACTTGGAGCACCCTCAACCCAATTCAGGTTTCTGGGAGTAGACACGGGAAGCCACAAAAACCCCAAGTAGGTTGGGAAGCCCTTGGTAAGCACAGGGAGGAAGGCACAGTTACCAAGACCAGAAAATAGAACCCTGGGAGGAAAGAACTTGAGTCACAAAAATGAAGTTGCTCCACAGAACGGGATGAGTGAAAACATTTTATTGAAAAACTCGTGCAGCAAACCACCATGGCACATGTTCACCTATGTAACAAACCTGCACATGTATCCCGGAACTTAAATAAAACTAAAACTCAAATTCCTCTGAATTTCCAGTCCTTGCATTTAATGAGTTCTTCATTTCCCTGCCAACTTTTAGCTTGCACGAGCATGTGTGAAGCACAGAAATCACACCACATGCACAAATCTCTAAAATGTCTTATCATCTGAAGGTACTGGGGTATTTCCTATCCCCTATCTGAAATTCGAGCTAATAAATCCCAAACCCTAAGTGGCAAGAACCCTACTTTCAGATGGTGGTGTTTCCACAATTCCAGAGGGAGACGAAACTACTTTTGAAACCTCCCAGGATAGAACAGAATTGGCAGTCCTTTCCAGCTGGAAGCACCTGCTAGTAATGAAGGGGCCTCTGAAGACAGTGCTTTTATGAAGCAGGATGGTTTGTGAAGTTTACTAACAGTGAGGTCTCAGACCTGATGGGAATGTTTAAGATTATTATAGACCCAGGAGTCGTTCTAGACTGGAAGCTAGCTAGTTTTCAGGATGGGGAAAGTATGTTCAAAACCACCTAAGGACATTCTGGGTACAAAGCATCCTGTAAGGTTTTGATGATACAGAGAATGAGGGGTTTTTCCTCCCATACTTGTCTGCCAAGGTTATCTCCAAATGTGCCTTTCTCTCCAGTTCCGAGCTTGCATCATGGAGATGGTGTGTGGGAAGGCCATGACAGACGAATCCGACATAAGCAGCTCCCAGAAAACAGAAGTTTCTACTGTCTCGACTAGCCAAGTTGGCCCCAACTGAGGACCCAATATCAGCCTGTTTGCAGCAACTAGAATTAAATTTTACGTTTAAGTAAGTTTCTATTGTCTCCATCAGAAACCAAACTACTAAAACCACAAAAAAGGTGGTAAGGAGTGATGGCAGTTTGGGGAGTCAATTTTTCATTTTCATACTATTCCCTTCTTGCCTACAAAGCTACTGTTTCCACTGGGTCTATTTCAGACCACTGAAAGGCCATTTCAACAATTATCAGTTTCTACTCCTATGTGGCACCATTCATAGCACTTGGGGAGCTGATTTCTACATATGAGGCCACTATAAAGAATATGGCTTTAAGTTTTCAGTGTATGGATACTTTCCTTTTAAGAAACTTTTTTTTTTTTTCTGCTGGGGATCCATTCTGAGATGATGTATGCTGAACTAGAACAAACTTAAGAAAACACCTTAGAAATGAGAGAGACAACTTTGGGAGGCTGAGGCAGGCAGATCATGAGGTCAGGAGATCAAGACCATCCTGGCCAACATAGTGAAACCCAGTCTCTACTAAAAATACAAAAATTAGCTGAGTGTAGTGGCACATGCCTGTAATCCCAGCTACTCGGAAGGCTGAGGCAGGAGAATCGCTCGAACCAGGGAGTCTGAGGTTTTGGTGAGCCGAGATCGCACCACTGCACTCCAGCCTGGTGACAGAGCAAGACTCCGTCTCAAAAAAAAAAAGAAAAAAGAAAAAAAAAACCTTAGTGTCCCCAAATGAGTTTAAAAGAACTTCTGGGTAACTGCTACAGCTTTGGCAGAACAGCCATGTCCACAAGCCCCTAAGCAAGCACAAATTATTCCACAGGCTTCGGCTAAACCTTTGTATTTGTCTTAAACTGTGTATTTACCAAATAGTTTTAATTCTCTTGAGGTTCTCAAAATGAATTTGCATATCTTAATACCATTTGTAAACAATACAAAAATGTTAAACAAAATTGTTTTACCTTATGCTCTACTCTCCCTCCAGGCCCCTAAAAAAGAGCCTTTTTGAAATAAAAATCAAGGTAAACGTGTGTGTACATTCAGAATCGCTTGTGCTTGGTATCAGATAATTATATAATGAGTAGTTGGTCTCTCCAGTTATACAGCCTAAGGGAAGTACAAATGGGTTGTGGCTGTGGTGAGAAGGATGCTAGAAAATATGGAGGAAATAACCATTTAGGAGAAGGTAGTGCTTTCTCTGAGTTTGGGAGAACTTCTAGCAGAGTTCCTTTTCTGACATTTTATAGAATCCATAATTCTAAGCTAGAGTTGTATTTCTTACAAAATGAAGGTCATACATACCCCACAATGAATGTAAACAGTTTTATTTAGAAACAGATAGAGGTACCTGTTTGCATTGTAGAATATAAAACTTAGTTTACACTCTATAAAAAATAACCAATATCCAAATTCAAGAGAGCTAGCATTCACAGAACACACAATATGGGTGTGTAGCTACTGTTCACCAGCCTCAGGCTTGATTTAAACCGAAAAAATAATCCAAGGGGATCATTCAAGATTAGCATACAATGCTTGCTGCTGAGTCCTCAGCATGCAGAAGTTGCTATTTTAGCAGATTAAGGTTTGCTTTTCAAGTGCGTGATTTTAACATAAGGCCTGGGCTCTCTGCACCTAGTGAGGTGTGAGGCTCTCTTGCCACACAGTTCACAAAACTAAGCCAGAGTTGGTGGCATTATTAAATTATCACTGGTCTTAACAGAAAAAATGGAAAACCCAAAGGGCAGGAAATTTCCATTACCCTATATTGGGGCTAAACTTAAAAGTATATCCACTATCAAGAGCTCAGTACAAAGGCTGGGGTGAAGTTACATGATACCTGGCTTTTTACTATACCAGGGAGCCCACCTCAACATGACTGTGGAAGACCAAAGGATATACCTAGGTTCAGATTATAATAAATCACCCAGCACCACCTGAATGTATTATCCACAAAGATATAGCAAATAATAAAGGTTATATATACATATATTTATCTTGGTAACCTGAGGGCTAAAAACGTGGAATACAATAATTCTTCTCAAGAGGTCCATCTGTAAGAAAGGGACCCAAAAGGACAGTGTTTGTGTTGCATAAAATATGGGTAAGTGGAGTTGGGAACAGAGGGTGGTTTTTTTTAGCTCTTTCCACATCTCTCTCTTTGATAAGGACTGAAAATCTGTTGATCCATGATAAACTTTTTTCCTTTTTTTTTTTTGGCAGCGGGGAGAGGGAAAGAGGAAGGAATGGGGTGTGATGGGTCAAAGGCAGGAAAGGTGAGCTATGGTCCTCAAACCAAAGAGCCCCCTCTGTAGGTCCTCTCATCTTTGAGTGTGAGCTCAAGCTCTCCAGCGGACACAGAAAGAGGCCTGGTAGGAAGTGGTTTGCATTGTGAGGTATGAGGATCCCTAGTAAATTCAGCAGCATGTGGTTTTTGGAATCAGCCCACAAGATAAGAACACTGCAACCAAACTCATAACTAATACTGCTAATTTAACTACTGTCCAAAAGAGAAAAGGAAGAAGAAAAAAATCTCCACTATATTGGGAGGTTCTAGGCTGTCCTATAAGTTATCCCAATAATCTTTTTTTAATCTTAGGGTTTCTTAAGAGAATTCCCATTCAGTGACCATGTCTCTCGTTAAAGGCACTTTCAATGACATGATTGGAAAGGAGTGAATTTTAATTGTAGTGAAACCAAGATTAATTCCTTGGCATACCTGGGGAAGAAGAGGAACTAGATGGGGGCATTTACAGTGATTTCAACAAGCAATTAATCAAGTCATGAGCATTTCAACAGATGCACACCCAGAAAAAAAATGTATGCCCTGAAAACACTTGTATTTTTCCTTTAGTTTTCCAGCTGTTTCTATCTATAGCTCTGTTAAGAGACCACATTCACTACTTGATTTTCAAGACACTGGCCGTAACTCTTCCCACCACAGCTGTGCTTGACGAAATTAGCCAACAGCCAGTCCTATAGGGGGAAAAAAAAGAAAATCAATTTGGGCCAAGCTTTCTTAAATCAAAGGGATCTTTCCTTGCCCAGTTAATGGCAGGATCAGTTGCTGGACCTGTAGCAACTGAATGTAATATGTGGCCCCTACTACCTGTGACATTTTGGACTTTTTGATAGGCAAGACTAGGTGTTCTCTCTCTAAATATAAATTGTGGGGTACATATTTTTTTTCCCTTTCCTCTCTCCTGAACATTTCTTATTGATCTCAGGTTTATAAAATTAGTTAAGTGAGAATTATAAAAATCATGTAAGGGGTTGAGAAAGAGTAAAGAGCTGTTTGTCTACATGTGTGAGTTGAGGATCTTGATCCTTCATATCATACTCCCAACCAGAGAACAAATACAAAAATAAACACGCCATGTTATACATAATACAAAGTATAAATCTACAAACACAAGTGTACTAATTAGAGTTGTTCCTCAGAAGCACGGCTTCCCTCCAGTCCCTCAGAGAGGAGGAGGAATGGGGACGGGATGGTTTTCATTACGCCTTTTCACGTCTTAAAAAGTTTGTAATAACAGTCTCAGTAGCGCAAACAATTTCATGTGAAACCAGAAGCTGTAAAAATAAATTACTTTTGAGGAAATGAGGGTTCCTCTGTAGCTCAGAACTCATCATGCCGTACTAAGGCCTCCCCAAAATCTGTGGCCTGGCTGCCAACAAATAAGTCATACTTGTCAACAATCTCCTCCTTGGTAAGCTTGCCGTCCTGAAATTAGAGATAGCAATGAATTGAAGCAGAAGATATTTCCCATTAAAAATTCAGAAACACTGTTATTGAAAAACAGGGGTTAATCAGGAGTTAAGATTCTCATTCCTACTAAATTAAGTGTGAACTCAGCTCTCATTCCCCCTATGTACATACAAAGAGGGAAGAAAACAGCAATTACACATTTTTCTTTTATTTATTTATTTATTTTTTTGAGATGGACTTTTGCTCTTGTTACCCAGGCTATAGTGCAATGGTGCAATCTTGGCTGACCACAACCTCTGCCTCCCAGGCTCAAGTAACTCTCCTGCCTCAGCCTCCCGAGTAGCTGGGATTACAGGCATGTGCCACCATGCCTGGCTAATTTTTGTATTTTTAGTAGAGACAGGGTTTCACCATGTTGGCCAGGTTGGTCTCAAACTTCCAACCTCAGGTGATCCGCTCACCTTGGCCTCCCAAAATACTGGGATGACAGGTGTGAGCCACCGTGCCAGGCCAATTACATATTTCTTTTATCAAGAAAGTTAAAAGTGGAAGGTGGAAATAATATAACCCGACAACTCAATGCTAGAAATAAAGGTTTGTTTCATGAGAAGAAAACTCTCCTTCTAGAGGAAAATATAGAACATCTCCCAGATAGGGATGACTACATGCATCTTCTTTTCTCATACATCTCAGGACACAACACCTGGCTATTAAAGTGACTTTAAGCAAGAACTGAAAGCAGATCAACACTTAAAAAACTGAATTTGAAACTGAAGATTAGCCTAGATAAAAATATACTCAGAACACTAAAAATCTCCATCTTTAAGCTGGTTTTCAGCTTACTCCAAGCAGGGCATTCAAATCTCTGATACAGATGACTGGGCTTAGGGATAACAACACCAAAATACCTAAGATAATTGATCAAGGACAATTTGAACAGGCTCGAGAAAAGCTACCCAATTTAAAAAAAAAGCATATTTGATTTAAGAAGGAAACAACTAGCTTTGAGTAGGCAGAATGGGCCTGTAATAGGTAAAGGAACAAATAAAGTAAGAAAGCAAAAAAAAAAAAAAAAAAATTCCTGGGGATCTAAAAATACCAGATGATGCATGTTGGGCACAGGCTACACACAGAGGCTCTTTTCTGATGCCAAATTTCCTACAATGCTGTAAGCACTGGGCAAAGGGATTTCTAAAATGAGATCAGATAGCTAGTGCTGCCCTGAAAGGTTTTAATCTCCAAATTCAGATGCTTAGCTTAGACGAATTAATACTTTAAATGCTCTATGCACCTTAACAGAAACTGTTTAGGCGATCCCCTAGAAGCAGACTTCAATCCAGAATAG